AATGTTGCAAACACACATAAGAATCAGATTTCCTGCATTCAGATCATTGCAGATAGAAGGGAAAAGTTTTTATATTTGTCAGCTGAGTTGCCAAATCATCATGATTAGCTTTTCTAAACTATTACGCGATGAAGCGCTTCCTCAGCAATTCGTCAAAAAATTCTCTCTTCGGTGATTCCGATCCTCGAACAGAGAACAGTGATATCGAAAATCAGTAGCTCGGCGAATAATACAGAACCAAAATGAGCGTTGCCGTTTTAAAGAAAGCTGAAACTCTGGATGCAATTTTCTTGTCTGTTTAATTAACACGGCGGCATCAGTTTCTATAACGCTCAGTAATACAATTAAAATATATGTGAAATTTCGCTACGGTTCTCAAACCTCCTTTTAACTCACCCGGACTTTGGACTTTCTAGAACAGAGTTTCATAGACTAGGCAACCTATTTAATTAAGTTTGAAAAATCTCCTGCTGTTTTATGCATGATTACAGTTAACTGCATTGAGCCTGCCAATATAATTCGCTGTTAAACATTATTTATTCGCCTAATGACAATTAAATTATCTGTGCTGTAATAGAACCGGCAGCCAGTCATATTTCGAAACCGTACGCTGGTATTACATTAACACATACGTTACAATCATGAAAATAAATATGATGTTTCACCTGTACTTAAGTATTCACAACGAAGGACAGCGCGTATTTAACAGCAGTCTGAAAGAATATTTTCTGCTATGGGTGAAGAACAATTTAGAGTCTACGAGTCTTTACCAATTGACAATGGTTTCATAAGTTGCTAAATATATCACCAAAATGTAATATCATGTAACCACGATTAAAACTTGCGTAGAAAATGGCAATAAATTCTTTGAATAGCAAAAATTCTCTCAGCTAGAGTCCTTGCTGCCTTATGTCAGATGTTTCGAGACTTACGTAATATTTTTTTTCTGTAATATAAAATTAGTAGAATCATTAAAGAAACATTAAGAAAAATCATCAGACGATTGCTGTTTTCTTTTGACCTTCTCAATGAGTTTTCGTTTTAACTTTCAATTGATCAAAAAATTCGGTTTCGTTGTTAAATTAAGGTTTAACAGTGAGTAGTAATGGGGATGGGAGATAATTTCGCCTCATTTATCTGCACCGATTTTGGGGGGGGGGAATGAAATCAATCTTCAATGCTTAGGCATATCTGTTACGTTCAAGCCAT